AAGAAGTTTGTGCGGTACATGTCTCCCAGGTCTCTGGTGAGTGCTATTCGCAGGTATTGCATGTGATTCGCGCACCTTTGGAATGGGAATTGGTTTTTTAATGCATCTGCTTGGGCCGTCGGGACAGTAATGGTGAGTACTTCGCATTTGTTCATGTTCAGTTTGAATCCTGAGACCTCCCCATAGTTTTCGAGCATAGTTACCAGGTGGGGCATTGTTGTCTCAGGATTTGTAATAAATAATAAAAGATCATCTGCGTATGCAGCCACTTTGTGTGCTGTATTACCGCTTTTGAAGCCCAGGATTTCATCCGATTTGCGTACAGCCTCTAGGAAAGGTTCGAGGGCCAGGGCGAAGAGCATGTCGGAGAGTGGGCATCCCTGTCTTGTCCCATTGTGGATCGGAAAAGACTCAGTGAGCACTCCGTTCACTCTCACCTTCGCGTTGGGGCATTGGTACGGCGCACCAATCCACTTCATCATGTTCTCCCCTAAGCCCAATTCTTGAAGCGTGGCCATAAGGAACATCTGCTTTTTCCGCATCTGTTGATAATAGTAGGAGTTTATCTTTCAATCGTTTTGGCAGGTGATGGATGTACTGTACCCTAAGAGTGTTGTCCCTTGCCTCCCTCCGGGAATGAACCCCGTCTGGTCAGGGTGGACCAATTTTGGGAGTATTCCCCCAATTCTAGTAGATAGTATCTTGGTGAAAAGCTTCACATCCACATTCAGCAGTGAGATTGGTCTACAGTTGCTGCAAAGTTCGAGATTCTTCCCCAGTTTCGGGAGGACTGTTATAGTAGCCGCTAGGGACTTGTGACGGAACTGGGCACCTTCCACTAGGGCGTTGAACACGTTGGTGAGTTTTGGGAGCAATATGGTTTGGAATTTTATAGTAGTCAAGGGTAAAGCCGTCAGGGCCCGGTGCACGGCCCGTTTTGGCGGCCTTGATTGCTCCCACTACCTCTGCTTCCGTGATCGGTGTATCCAGGACCTCCGACTCCCCTCGTTGTAGTCGTGTCCCCACGTAGGATTCGACACATCTTTGTATTTTGTCATGTCTGTCAGCTGTCCCCTCCGGGAGTGTCGGCCTCAGAATGTTATACAGTGAAGTGTAAAATGAGCGAAACTCCGACGCTATCTTGTCTGGGAACTGCGTGACCGTGCCATCTGTGGTTTGTAGCTTATGGACTTGGGTCATACCCTGGGGACCTCTGATCATCCTGGCCAATAGTCTCCCTCCTTTGTTGGCATGTTGGTAGAAAAAGGCCTTCGAACGTTATAGAGAGCTGTAGTATCGAGCTGTCATGTTTGTATGTAGTGATCTTCGGGCTTCCAATAATTCCTTATATGACCCTTCAAGTTGGGAGCGCTTGTGTTGCATTTCAAGGACATTTATGCGTGTCAATAGTTCTGTCATCTGTCTCTGGGATTCCTTTTTCTTTTTAGAAGCTAAGTGCATCAGCGTACCTCTGAGCACACTTTTGCGTGCTTCCCGTACCGTTGTCGCGGTTAGATCGTCTGTTGTGTTTATTGCGAAATAAGAAGTGAGGTCCTCGGTGACGCGCTCCCTCACCACTGGGTCTAAGAGTAGAGAATCCCAGAGCCGCCACGTCCAACTGGATGAGCGTATCCTAGGAGAGTCCATTTGTAGAGTCACTGGTCCATGGTCCGACCAGTTTGCCGATCCAATTTCCACTTTCGATTGCGGTGAGTTGCTCCTGTTGGAGAAAGATATAATCAATTCTCGCATATCGCTTATGTATCACGGAGTAGTGAGTGTATTCCCTGTTTGCCGGGTGCATTGCGCACCAGCAGTCTACCAGTCTAAGGTTCTAGAGTGATTTCTGTATACTACGAAGGGCTCCTTGGGCGACACTACTGTGTCCCGTGGATGAGTCTGTTAGAGGGATGAGGGGTAGGTTGGTCAATGTGCCCTCTGTGAATGAGGAGAGTCTGAAGAGGGTTTTGCGAATGTAATGTGATTGGTTGTTATTCGGCACGTAGATTGTCGCAAATGTATACCTTCGGTCTTGTATATCTCCTTTGAGGAATATGTATCTGCCGTTGGGGTCAACCATTCGGTACATTTCCTGGAACTGTAGCTTAGTATGGAGGAGGATCGCCACTCCCACCCTACGGGCGGTCGGGTGGTTACTACAGGCCACGCTGGGATAGTGTTTGCCTTTCAGCAGCGGGGCATTTCCTTCCTTAAAATGTGTTTCCTGTAGGAAAGCAATCAATATGTGTCTAGAGGATAGGTCTCGAAGGAGCTATGACTTGCGCTCCGGGATATTTAGGCCCCTGCAGTTCATGGTCGTAAAGCGTAAGGGGTCCGGCTCGTAGACCATTTGTGGTTGGCGTGAGTGGTTCGCAGTGGCCTTCAGCAGTTTGTTCACCCTTCCAGGGGAAGTCTGCTGTCGAGTTGCACCCAATCCCTGTGGAGGCTCCGCAGTTACTGTGGCAATGGGAGGGGGTATTAAGGGTGTAGCTGGGTGGGGGAGGAACAGAGGAGTGGAGAGGGTGAAGCAGAGGAATAGAGCGGGGGTAGAAGTGAAGTATGGGGAGACCCCAGTCCGCACGTCAGAGCGGGCAGGGGTGTGGAAGAAAAGGTAGATTCTTCGTCTCCAGAGGGAGACGGTAGCGGCACCTAGGGATAGATGACAAGAGTCCCTCCTGGGAGGGCTGGCTCGCGTGACCACGGTAGCAGTCGGCAGTCGGGCCTGTCAGACAGTGTCCTACAGCTTCCAACTATCGACTCCCTGTGGTTTGGGGTTCACGTGAACGTGTTGGGGGGTTAGTGGTTGAGTCCTTGAGCTTTCTTCAAATTAAGATGTGTTTTCTAGAGGTTGTTTTAGGTACATGTGTCCGAGATTACCCAACACCCGTGCCACCACCTTGAGAGTGTTTGAATGTTGTTTGCCTGGGCTAGTGTAAGTAGTGGGCCCTATCATGGACCCCCAGTGACCTTCAATGTTGTCGCCATTTGCTGTCTATCAAGGGGATATCGTGTGGAAGCTGAGGCAGGTGTCTCTTCCCTTCATGTTCCATGTTTGTTTCCCCACCCCCCCCGGGATGTGGGGGGAGCGGTGGGGTGAAGGGGAGCGGGTTTCCACGGGTGACGTGCGTCAATATGTGGTTATGGAGCTGTGTGTTGTTGGTCGGGGGGTTGGCTAGTCTAGTGTGTCTGAGTAGAGTATTGCAGTCATTCTTGGTCGGGTAGCGGTAGCCAGGACCAGTGTCCCTGTCGTGTCAAATGTAGGTCCGGGGGGGTGGGGCATAGGCAGGGTGTTGCCTCAGAGCGTGTTACTTATCGTGTGGCTCATGGGATGCAGGTTTGGGCGGGGGTAGTGGCGGGTTCTCCTCCATTTATTTCAGTGGCAGCGTCTTTGTGGATAGCGTATAGGTTAACTATAAGAAAAGCATGTCATACATTGTAGTATACTTCTCCCCCACTTGAAGCATATAACATATATACAGTTTAACACAGTATTGAGTCCCCCGCCCCCTCTTTCTCCACCCGTCCAACCCGCGTGTCCCTCTTCCCTCCCTTGTTTACCTCCTATTGGTCTCACCAAGATGTATGGGGCAGTGGGTGGTGTTGCTACCTCTAATGCCATTTAGCTCCCCCTGCAGCTATACTCTAGTGGTACTAGGAGTCTAGTTTGGGGGTCCCGATCTCCCCTCATCTTTCCCACTCCTTCCCACCTTTCCCCTCCCCACCCCTCCTCTAACTTCAGGTTCTTTGGTCCAGAGTCCCGGCTTCTTGGCCCCCGCAGGATTCATATTACCCCCTATGCATATACATATATTTTTGCGTTTGTTTCGTTTCCCCCTCCCGCCTCCCCGACAGACCCGTAATGCTTTGTTCCCCTTCCATTTACCATCCCCCCCTGAACCTGTAGGCATGAGTCCTCCATCAAGTGAAGTTGCTGCTGGCATGGGTGTTCGCTGTATTGGATCGGTCTCCTATGTTGGCATGATAGAGGTGAGGCTTCTGGCCCCGCTAGGTGAACCGGTACGTGTCCCTTCAGTCTTACAGTACCCCCCCATAAGGCTTTCGCATGCCTACCCCCTGCCGATTTAGTCCAATTTTGGTGCTTCCCCTGCGGGCCATATGCTGTGGAAAGGTGGCATAGGGTGGGAGAGTCTGGCAACGGGCACGGCCGGTCAGGCCCTTCAGATTGGCGTCCATCAGTCCCTTCCCCTGTGGTTAATGATATATCTCGCCCCTCCTGTTCCCTACCCAAAATGCGGAAGGTACGGCGGGTGTGATTACCCCAAACAGCCGGCGAAGTGGTCGCCCGGGATCAGGGGGGTCTATGCAGTGTACGTGGATCATCGTGTGGGTCTATACCATCTCTCAGGCAATGTGGTCCCGGTTCTCAGGCAATGTGGTTGAGCTGAGGCGGTTACCTGCGGGTTGAATTTATTCTTCTGGGTTGGATGAGTGTGGGGTTGCAGCATATGCCTGGTTCTCTCTAGGGCCCCTCCTTGGGTTCCGTGGTTGTCTCTGGGGTCTGGGTTCCCGGTCTAGTGGTTCCAGTATCCAGTCAGGACTGCTATGGGCAGCAGGTCCAGCCTTTGGAGAAAACGTGGTATTTCTTCTGGCCAGCGTGCCGCGACCCATTCGTTGCGGTGTCGTACTTGGATGCTGAATGGGAAACCCCACTTGTAGGGAATATTGCGTTCCCTTAGTGCTGTAATGATGGGTCTGAGGGCATGCCTAGCCTCCAATGTGGTAGGTGAGAGGTCATTAAACAGGGAGACCTCTGCCTCTCGGTACCGCCACGTGGGTCGGGTCCTGGCCTGCTGCATTATGCGCTCTTTAAGAGGAAATGAGTGTAAGCAGCAAATAATGTCACGGGGGTCCCCATCCCTAATCCTGGGTTGCAAGGCCCTGTGTGCCCGCTCAAAGCGGGTGTCTGGTTGCACCTCGCTCCCCAGAATCTGGTGGAAAAGCTCGGGCAGCATCTCCTCAATGTTCTCCGTCCCCTCTCCCTACGGCACCCCCCTTATCTGGATGTTAGAGCGGCAACTCCGGTTATCCAGGTCCTCGACCTGTCTGCGCAGGGCCAGTAGCATGTTGCCCTGTCTTGTTAGGGCTGTATCTGTGGCTGAGGCCTGGTGCTGTGTGGCATGGGCCTGGGTTTCTAAGGCCTGGATGCATCCGTCCTGTGCCTCTATGTCCGTGCGTAGTGCTGTGTCTGCGGATGTGAGGGATGCCGTAAGGGTCGCGGTCATGGACTGCAGGTCAGATTTTGTGACCATGTTGGCTGCTAGTCTCCTGATCTCTGCCCCGATATCCGCCAGTGTGGGCTGTTCCTGCTCCGAGCAGGAGGAAGCCGGGGAGAGGGGCGCCTCGCGGCTCGGACCCAGCGGGGTTTGTAGAAATCTGTCCATCGGTCCTGATGACGGTGCTGGCGGTGCTGCCCTGTGGATCTGCTTGTTCTCCGGTCTCCTGGTGCGTCCCATTTGGGTGAGCTAATGGGCTGGAAACGGCTTATAGTAGCTTGGTGGCGAGGAGCTCAGGATTCACGCGTCCATGCTAGTCGGACTTCAGGCCACGTCCTAGATTCAATATCTTACCCCTAATGGCAATTGGGGAAATCAATTATCGCTTGTATATATGACAATAAGTCTAAAATAGAAAAGTGAGACATATAATGGTGCAGTATGCCAATGCACTATGGATAAAATGTAGTCGGGAGTATATATCCAACTCACATGGTGAAGAGCCTGGAGATAGGCTCAAATCACAGCAGCTTGTAACCACCAGGATTGGACATGAAGGTTTTTTTTAAAATTTATTTTAAATAAAAATATCAAAAACCCCTATGCACCCTCCTCACATACAGCACCCTTCACACACAGCACATCTCACACGCAGCACCTCCCACACACAGAACACCCCTTACACACACAACACACACACACAGCACCACACACACACACTCACACACACTGCACCCCTCACACACACACAGCACCTCTTACATGCACATCACCCCCTCACACTCAGCACCCCTCACACACACAGCACCCCTCTCACACACAACACCCCTCACACACATACAGCTCCTCACTCACACACACAGCACCACACACACATAGCACCCCTCACACACACATCACCCCTCTCACACATAGCACCCCTCTCACCCATAGCACCCCTCTCACCCATAGCACCCCTCACAAAAACACACACAGCACCTCACTCAGAAATCTGTGTGCATGTATTCAGCAGTCTGTGTGTGTGTACTCAGCAGTCTGTGTGTATGTATTCAGCAGTCTGTGTGCATGTATTCAGCAGTCTGTGTGTATACAGCAGCCTGTGTGTATTCTGCATTCTGTCTGTGAGTATTCAGCAGTCCGTGTGTGTGTATTCAGCAGTCTGTATATGTATTCAGCAGTCTGTGTGTTTGTATTGTATGAATGTATTGCATTTCTTGGAGGTACCAATAAATTGAAGCTTAATTTTATCGATAATTTTTATTTTTTTTCCCTGTGAGTGGTTGTGTAGGCAGGGCCGCAGTGACCTGCTTTGTGCGTAGTGTTGGTGTGTGAATACTGAGATGTGTGCACATATATACATACAGACACACAAAGACACACACACATACACATACATACACACACACAGATACACACAAATGCACATGCAGATACAGAACTACAGATGATGCAGCCGGTGCAACAGCACCAGGACCACAGGGGGTCACGGGGCCTGCCGACACTCGGTCTTCTTATGGGCCACATGGGGCCAATCCTGGTTGCACCAACACCGCCAGAAGGTCTGATGCTGAAATAGAGGCAGGGCTATAGGGAGACTCACTAGGGATTGGGGGAGGGGACAGTGTGCACAGCAGAAGGAGAACTGGACTCCTAGTGATGGTGTGTCAAGTGTATATGTTTGCTTATTGTGTGCAGTGTTTGTGTATGTGTGCATTTGTGCATGTGTGTACATATATGCATGTTAGTGTGTGTTAGTGTGTGTATATGTGCATTTCTGTGTGTACATGTGCCACTGTATCTGTTCAGGTGTGTCAATCTATGTGTGTCAGTGTGTATCTCTTAGGGGCTTGCTCTCATCTTTCAGCCCAGCCCCCTCCTCTCTGCTTTCTCTGCTCTCCCGCAGCTTCAGTCTAGTTGGGAGGAAGTGACAGCCTGTCACTTCCTCCCATGCCAATAAGAAGGGGGCGGTGGTATTTTCTGCTAAGTGCTAGCCGCACTGTGTGCTATGCAGGGAGCAGGGATATAATGAGTAGAAGACTGGTATGGAGGGAGCTGCAGGTGCTTGGCCACACTACAAGAAGTGACCGATAGGAGAAGAGCGCAGTACGCTTCCCTCCTGCTGGTTGGCCGGACATTTGCGCCCCTGGCTGGTGCACCCTAAGGCGATCGCCTATGCCGCCTTATGGTAGCACCAGCCGTGACTCCATACAATAACATGCCTACCATCACACACAAGCACTGAACAGACATACAACCCTACAAGGATGGGCAAATGGTAGATCTGCACCTGACAAAACATTGTAACTGAGAACTGCCTTTTGGTTACGCGTGCTTTATGGTTGGACCCCAAAATTATCTTTGCACCAGGTCCATTTCTACATTAATTCCACCACTGCACACATGCACACTGTTACACACACATACATACATACAGTGATCATAATTTACTAGCAGGTGCTGACTGAGGCTGATGCTTCTCCTCTTGTTGTCTCCTCATCTCCCTCTTTAAGTTGGCAGGAAGTGAACTCTACTCCCTTCTTTCCAGCACTGCAGCTGAGCAGTAACAGGGGCCTGGTCGGATGCACAGTTTAAGGGTAACAGGGCCAGTGTGGTCCCCTGATCAAAGATTCTGAAGTAGGAGAGCAATCTGTTGGGGCCCTCCAGAGTGCGGGCCCTGATGCAGCTGCACCAGCTGTAGTTCTGCTACTGATTCACTACTGATACTGATATGCTTCACTAAGAAGCATAAATGGTTATCCTGCTTTTGAAACATGTTATGTTTGAAAGTCAATTTAAAGATCCATGAAATAAAATTTTCCCTCATCACAGATGGGCTTTAGAACATAAATGAACTCATACAAGGAATCTATACTGATCAGCTACAACATTTAAACCACCTGTCTAACATCATGTATTTTGCCCTCGTGTTGCCAAAACAACTCTGATGGGTGCCCCTTGGAAACCCTGGGACCAGGTGCCCATCACCATGTGTTGCAGCCCTGGTCTGCGCGATAGAACCGGGGCCGCGCGTTCTGGTTCCCATTGGGTGGCCCATATGTATTTCCAGGGGGCCCGGTCAGCGCTCCAGCGCTTTAAAAGCATGACTGGGCCCCCTGTAAAGAGGACCGACTGAGCTGGGAGGAAGTGACTGCCCCGGTCACTCTTCCCAGCTTATACAGAGCTCGCACTGGAGGAAGAGAGGAGGGAATCAGAATGGGAACGCTGACTCCCATCAGCCTGAGCCACTGAACCCCAGGAAAGTCACCCTCCTGCACCGAAAAGGTAGGAAACAGGAGGGTGACTAGACCATTTTGCATGTGTGTGTGTTTGTGTGTTTTAATGTATGCGTGTCTCTGTATGTATGTGTGTGTGTCTCTGTATGTGTGTATGTGTGTGTCTGTTGGTATGTGTTTGTTCTCTGTATGTATGTGTGTGTGTGTGTGTTTCTGTCTGCATGTGTATCTGCATGTCTACGTATCTGTATGTCAGTATCTGCCCTGTGTATCTGTATGTGTTTACCCTGTTTCTATATGAATGAGTGTCATTCTGTGTATTTGAATGTTTATCTGTCTGTATGTGTGTCTGTGTATCCGTGTATCTGTATTTGTGTCAATGTTTGTATCTATAGGAGTTTCATTCTGTGTATCTCAAAGTATGTAATTATGTGTGTCTGTGTATCTGCAAGTGCGTCTGTGTGTATATATGTTTCTGTGTACCAACATGTGTGTACGTGTATGTATCTTTATGTGTTATATGGTGTGTATTTGCATGTATGTCAGTGTGTGATTTTATGAATAAGACACACTGAAGGGCGTGAGTGTGACACATGGAGGGGCTGGGGGGGAATCAGACGTATGGGGGGGTCTAGCACAATTTCTGCACCAGAGCCCCGTGGTTGCTAGCTACGCCTCTGCCAGGACCGAAGGTTTCCCAGCAGAACATTGCCCAGAGCAGGCTGTCTTCCCCTGTCACCCAAGATAAATGATACACATGTAGTGATGTTGCGAACCCGAACTTCCGCAAATGTTCGCGAACCGGCGAACCGGCGAACCGGGCGAACCGCCATAGACTTCAATGGGCAGGCGAATTTTAAAACACACAGGGACTCTTTCTGGCCACAACACTCGACCATTCACATGATCTAAAAAGACACGTGATTCATCTGACCAGGCAACTTTCTTCCACTGCTCTATTGTTCAGTTCTGATGTTCACATCCTCATTGAAGGCGCTTGTGGCCTTGAAGCCGGTTCACCAGTTGTTCTTCCTTGCACCATTTTTAGTAGGTATTAACCTCTGCATACCGGGAACACCACACTGACCCAGTGGTCTAGCCAACACTTTTAGACTTTGTCAAAGTCACTGAGATCCCAGGTTTCCCAGATCCCAGGTTTCCTGCTTTGAACACATGACATTCAACTCAATACACTGGCTGTTCACTTGCCGCCTAGTATATGCCATCCCACTGTAACAATATAATCAATGTTAGTCACTTCACCTGTCAGTGGTTTTAAGGTTGCAGCTGATCAGTGTATTTTCCTAGTGTACAGAATAACAAGACACAACGCTAGGAAAATAGGAAGAACTACACTGTAAATTCTAGCTACAAACAATAATAATTTGTTGCTATTTACAGCTATAAATAGTCCAAAAATAGCCCAAAATGTAATGACAGCTCACTCAAATAGAGAGAGAGAAAAATAGTTGTCTCTTTCTATTAAAAAAAAAGAAAAAAAAAAAAAAAAGAAAGTGGGGTCCCCTGGGACCATTGTACCTGAAGAGCCTTTGTGAGTAATATAAATGGGAGCCTGGTAATGATGACAATACTCATGGCCTTCAATCAGTTAACCCCTATAATATTACCATACTAATGCTGAGGCGAGCCTCAACTGCAACTAACCCTAATTCCTACAATCCCTAACGCCTAACCTTAAAGCTCTTATTCCATAATTTACAATCCCTAATCCCATAATTTACAACCCTACTTGCTTGTATAATGCTCACATCACAGGCCATCAAACTAACTCCTAACTTCCACAAAAAACACCAAAATCTAACTCTAACAAAAAAACTGTTTTGAAATATACAATATCATTTCAATATTGACCCTTGTTGTGATAATTGTTATCTTGTTTCCAACAATGCCTTAACACATATCTGGCCACGAGTAGTGATTTGCCCATAATCTTTACCTGATTAGATGAGTGACAAGTATTGTTTTTACAGCAGGGCTAGCCAAAAT